TGCTGCCTTCTAATAAGTGTCCAGATGCCTCTCTCCTACCTAAACCCCAGAGCAATCCACGAACTGGTGGGAGAAAGGCATTTAGCTGCCTTGGTCAGGCAAGGCCTAATCCAGAAGATGTACTCACAGGGCACCCACTGGATCAGGTCCCATTCAAAAGCAAGCTAGAGAAAGAGGAGGTGGTGCCCATCTTATAACTTTTAGCTCAGTTGTTAGAGTAATCCCTGGGGTTGTGGGAAACCCAGGTTCAATAACCACCTGGAGTGGGAGAAGAGATTTGAACAGGGGTCTTACACCTTTCAGGAGAGTGCTATAAGTATTAGATCATGCAATACTCTGATGTGGGTTTCCCTTTCCTGTTGAAGTTGATACATTGTGGATAAATAATGAAAGAGTGACTGGAGCCGGGGGACTGTACTCAGGGTCTCCCACCTTCCAGAGGGGTCCCCTAACCACTGGGCTACCGAATCACGCTCTCTCTGGCCCAATGACTGTTCCACTGTGGCTAAATAATCCTGGTGGTGGGGCGAGAGAGAGAATGACTCCATATCCCAATGGTTAGGACACCTAGAAAGTAAGAGACCCAGGGTCCCATCTCCACTGGTCCAAATCACTCTTTCATTATTTATCCACAGTGGGACAGTTTCAACAGGAGGGAGGAGGGGAGCCCCACATCAGACTATCTCATACCGTAGTGGTTAGAGGTGGGAGGCTCCTGTTCAGATACTTTCTCCCCCTGTGGCAGAGAGGCGGGGGAACTGAACTAGTGTCTCCCACATCCCAGGCGAGGGCTCTAACCACTGGGTTGAAAGTTATAAGGTGGGCTTCACCATCCCCTCCTCCTTCTCTGGCTGTTTCGTGTGGAGTCAGGGAGGCCCCTAACTCATTCCCAAAGACAGACCTTAGGACCTAAGCCACTTGACGCCAGGCAACTGGTTCTCATTCATCAATTGCTAAGCAGAGCTAGGTGCCTCCCTGGAGCCTGGACCACCTGTCTTTGGGAGGGGGTGGAGCTTAGCACACACCCTTCTCGTCGGCACCTCCCATTCGCTAGCTTTGGTGGCTCTCCACCTACCATGTTGGCTTTCTTAGGCACCCATCTCTCCCCATTCATTCCATAGGGAACCTAAGCACCTAACTCAGGCGTTGGGGAGTGCACTGTTGTTCCTGGATTTTCTAAGTGCCATGACACTCAGTCTTGCAACATCTAAGTCCCATTTGTGGCTCCTACCCTGTGAATTTAGTTGGTGATTTCAGTCCTTTTCTTATCCGACAGGTATCCACATCACTAACATCTCACCCTCTCAGCAGGCATTCCTTGGTGCTACTACCTGCATTATCAGAGACACCAAGGTTAAATGAAAAGAAGAGATTATGCTATCTTCTCATTCCTGGAGGTTTCCCTACCGGCAGAGGCACATTGGCTGGGTAAAACAAAGAAGCTTTTACTGCCTATGTTGTGCTTATCACCCTAATAATTCATTCCACTGACTTCAGTGGGGCTGCTCTTGATTTACACTGGTGTAACCGAGATAAGAGTCAATCCCATATCTCATGTTTAATTGTTGGAAGAAAAACTATATCCACAACACAAGAGAGTTCCCTTCTGCTGTGGAGATGACAATCAAATTATAATATGATCACTTCCTGATATATCAGCTACTTGGCTAGAAATATTTATATCCGCCATGGATTCAGATTCTAAGGCCTGGTCTACACTGCAAAGTTAGGTCAATGTAAGCTGCCTCAGACTGACCTAGTTGTGCATGTGTATACACTTAAATTTGTCTCCCACCCAGGTAAACGCCCTGTTGTGGTGACATAGTAACACCATCTCCCTGAGCGGCGTTAAGCCAGGGTTGATGTACTGAGGTTGATGCACCACACGTGTAGACACTGTGTTACTTATGTCAACTCTAACAGTCCTCCAGCAGCTGTTCCACAATACCAGACACTAACCATTCTGGTCACCATTGTGAACTCCACTGCCCAAGGTCACAGGAGATCAATGAGATCCTGCAAGCCAGTGCTGTATCAGACCGTGAGCAAAGGGCCTGGAGGGTGAACACTGCACACAGTGTGAATGAGGAAAAAGCAGACAGGAGAAAGGCCCAGGCATGGGCGGCGGGTGTCAGAGGCTGGGGGAGTCTGCACCTCCCCAAAGAGCCAGGCGTAGCCTGCCCACACTCTGCCCCCAGCCCTCCTGCTTCCACTCAGCATGGCTCCAGTCTCCTGGAGTAGCCCCAGCTCGGGCTGTGCCACCCACTCTCCCGGTGCTCTGAGGCTGGGACTGCGCTGCCCACTCTGGGGTTGGGAGCACTAGCATGTGTGCCGCTTGGGGCCAGCGGCTGCGGTGGGGGGGGCCTCTGGGCTCTGGCAGGGGGCACGGGGCCTTGGGTGGAAGGGGCAGGGCTGGGGGCTAGCCTCCCCCAGCCAGTGGTTCACGCGCTGCCCATGGGCCCAGTAGGAAAAGGAGAGGGAGATACACCAGGAGATAATGGAGCTTCCCCAGCAGCACACACAGATGCTGCAGACTCTTGTGGACCTACAGGTTCAACAATCACAGTGTTACCTCCCTTTGCAATGCATGCAGAACTCCACTGCAGCACCTCCCTTTCCCCTCTACCCCCAACATTCCACGTGGCATCAGGGGCTACATCCCTACCTCTACCACTGCACTCCAGGGGACATTAAGGACAACTACAGCTTCACATACAGCAACGGTGACTTTCACAGGTTAGCATGTAGGTAAGATGGACATGAATTTTCTTTCACTTGGTTAAGTTCTGTTCCATATAATTTATTAAGTTTTTAATGTATTTCCTTTTAAATTGAACAGATTTTTCTTTGCACTGGTTTTGTTAATGAAAAAAAATCTATTATTTGCAAAATAACTCATCTTTATTAGCTCACAACATATGCTGCAGAGTGCCTAGAAGTTCTGATAGCACCTGCTTACTTGTTACTGTACAGTGTGACACAATTCATAGGATCAGTGACATGGTGTAATAATCATAGATATACAGCAAGCACCACAGAATGAATAGGTGCACTGACAGTGTTATATTCATAGGTGTGAACCAACACCACACAATTCCTAACAGGCCCAAAACAGGAAAGCCAGGTTGAACACAGTACACCACAATGCATTACTGTGGTTCACTGTTAAAGTGCTCTTCCAAAGCCTCCCTGACTCATATAGCTCCATGTTGAGCTCTTCTAATAGCCCTTGTGTCTGTCTGTTCACACTCAGCAGAGAGCCATTCCACCTCTGCCCTCCACCCCGGGTGGCAGCTTTTCCCCCTCTGCTTCACTGGTTTGATGCAGAACATAGCAGGCAGCTGTAACCACTGGGACTTTTTTTCCCATTGAGATCCAATCTTGTGAGCAAACACTGCCAGCAACCCTTCACTCTACCCAAAGCACATTCAATTGTCATTCTGCACCTGCTGAGCCGGTAGTTGAATCTTTCCTTGGTGCTGTCGAGGTGGCTGGTGTACGGCTTCATGAGCCAGGGGAGCAAGGGTCATTTCAACATCACCAGTGGTAATCTGCCACTTGCGAAAGGAAGTCCCAGCTTGTAGCTGTCTGAACAGTCCTGTGTTCTCAGAGATGAGAGCGTCATGCACCTTCCCTGACCGGCCAGCACTGATGTCGGTGAAGTGGCCCTGGTGATCGACCAATGCTGGCATAATCATGGAAAAGTAGCCCTTTTTGTTGATGTGTTCTGTGGCAATGTGATCTGGTGCCAAAATAGGGATATGGATGCTGTCTATTGCTCCACAGAAGTTTGGGAACCCCATTGCTGCAAAGCCATCCACTATGTCCTGCACACCAAGCATAGCAGGACATGATTAATAGTCCTGCATACTTGCATGACAAAGGTCGTCACAATGGATTTTCCAACTCCAAAATGATTTCCCACTGGATGGCATCAATATGGCATTGAACGTTTCCAAAGTATTATTGCCACTTACTTCTCCACTGTCAAGGCAGCTCTCCTCCTAGTGTCCCTGTACTGGAGGACTGGGGTAAGCTCAGCATACAGATCCAGGAATGTGGCCTGCACATCCAAAAGTTCTGCAGCCACCACTCATCGTCCCAAGCCTCCATTACGATGTGATTCCCACCAGTCAGTGCTTGTTTCTTGGGCCCAGAAGTGGCGCTCCACCATCTGTAGCTGCTCCATGAATACCACTAACAACCTTGAACTGGCTCTTGCTATGGCCCACAGCTATCTGTCCTCCAAGAAATAGTCCGGTTCCCCACAAATCAGTGGGTTCTTCTTACGGCTCTGCAAGTACCAGAGGATCGTGCATCCTGTGCTTGCAACGCTTATGACAATAGTGCAGAGCTGTGTAGACTCCTTGCTTCTGTCAGAAATGGCGGATAGCGAGGAGGGCTGTGCCGTTTTGTGAGATTTTTAAATATGGCATGAAAATTATGGGATGTAGATGACATTATGGGATGGAGACAGTTGCATACTGGGAAGTTGATCCCTTGCGCCCAGTCACCCTGATGACTTGTTTCTGCTCCACCATGCATTGCCAAAACTTCCCAAAGTGCATTGGATGGTGGCGGGTTGCACACTGGGATCCCTACCCACAGTGCACCACACTGTGCATTAACACAAGCACTCCTGATGAGTACGCACAGCACCACTGCAAAGAGCCAAGCATGCATGGAAGCGATATACTAACTGCATCAGCTTTATGCCAATGTAACTTGCATTGGTGACAGTTTGTAGTGCAGACATGGGCCTTAACCACGCCTCTTTTCTCTCGAGAACTGACCTGACATTGATCAGCATCTTTACCGTCCAAAAAACCCAAATATTCTGCATTAAGCACATTTTTGATACACAAAAGACAATTCCGTCTTTGGATGTGTGTGTGTGAATTTAATAGAATATATGAGCAGGATTAAGAGAATAAAATTAACCAGTCTTTATAGCATCTAACAATATAGCACAGGGAGGGAAACTCTCCCCAAAAACTCACCTTATCACTTAGTGTTGGATCATTCAACGAGTAGAGTTTGTTTGTAATATCTTTACCGATAAGATACCTAAATATTTCATAAAGGAATGGTTCAGATTCCAGAAAGTAAGTCAGTCGTTCCCTGGACCAGCACAGAAACTTACAGTTGTCATCTGCAGTAATGGTGACCTAAGAAAACATATGTACAGAATTAACACCGCTTTATTGTTTGAAAAACAGGTCGCACCAGATTTTAATTTGGGGATGCAGCAAAAATAACTAGTGTAATCATGACTCAACCTGTGTATATCCCATAAGATATATACCACCTACAAGTTTAAAGGCACCCAAGATGCTTCTTATTGTATTTTTTAAATTTCCATTATTTATAAGTGCAGTAAATGTTTTCAGCTGAGATTTTTTCCCCATTTTTCATTTGTTTAATGGACTGGCGGAAGTGTATGTCATGAGAATCCTTCCCTCACCAAATAGAGTTGTCTCCATAAATACAGTTAATATCAGCATTTGTAATCTAGAGAGATATTTAGGAATAAAATATAAGGAACACACCTTTTAATTCCATTGAAATTCATTGGACATAAAACAATCAAATTAAATCCAGTGACCTTAATGCAATTCCCATATAATTACATGAGAGCTAAATTTGTTCTAGGAAGATTTTTGGAAGGATAGTGTGGAAAAATCTCTCTTTACTCATGTGAATAGTCCCACTGATGTTCTAAGACTACTTACGTAAGTAAAATTACTCATAGTTACTACGTGTTGGCACAGTTGGTATATGAAAAAGATATTATGAGTGATATTTTAATGTTTTGAAATCTCATACAAATTGTTACAGCTTGATTTGCCCTGTCATCAGCTACAACAGAATTCATGACCTTTTCATAAAGGCAAGCCTTCGATACTTGTGCTAAACAATCAAATCAATTAGTCATCAGTAGTACTGCTATGGAAGTTGCAGAGAAGTTTACATCCCTTTTCAGGAAGACAGTTACAGACTTATAAACACTTGAGCAGGTCTTGCATTCTAGCCAGAAGAGGGCAGTGGCACGCAAAAACCACTATATCACAGTTCAGTACTGCTGTAGCCATATTTAAATCACTTATTTTATAAAAACAAGTAAACAATTAAAAGTAGGAATCATATGGCTACTTCTTTTCTAAGTTACTTGTAGCCTTTTTTTCTCCTTAAAATAAATTAAAGAGGTATAAGTCTCAGAAGGTGAGGGACCACTGCCACATACTAGATACAGGTTTTAAGTGATACATTTTAGTCTCCATTTTTTGTAATAGTTCTTAAAAGTACAGGTTTGGGAAGAGTATTTGTTCATCAGCACAGCCAGCAGATGGAGCACAAAAGGTTCTATAGATCATTTAAATATAAGTTCTGCATAAACATTCCTGATGAGATTTTTTTTATTTAAGGTCAGAGTATTGAGATTAAAAACAAAACAAAAACCTAGAAAGCGAAGGACATACCATACTAGATTATAATAATTTTAAGGTAGGTGAAATTTGATGTTAAACTATTTCCCTTCAATAGCATGAATCAATGTTTGATCATCTTCTAAAGGAGAGATTGCATGACGAGGACTGCAAGTGTACAGGATTCCTTTAGTGAATATATCTTCACAACCATCTCTCCTTGGCCCTATGCCGAGTTCTTGACTGGTACATATTATCTCAATCACTGACTTAGATGCCATACCAACCCTGCCTCCCTTCCTGGCATGAGGAGAGTCACAGTCCAGTAACTATTGCACAATCATAGTTAGGAATAATAACATGTTTAGGAACTAGCAAAACATCTGGTACTGATTTTAGTATTTTGGGTAGAAAACTTTCCCTCCTTAATATTTTGTTATCTGCTGCACACCAGTGTATAATACTTTCAGCCATCTGTTCATCTTCCAGAGCTTCTAAAGCAACATAAGCTAAACTGAGAAAAAAGCCACTGTTATTCTGCATAAGAGGGTCTGCATGGGGAGTTATACCAGTAAAACTATAGTGGTACAATTATACTGGTATAGTAATTCTGGGAAATTTCCCCATGTAGCCAGGACCCTTAGAAACCATGATCACTGCACACAGCATGCAGATAGAAAGATAGGGAATTTCTGAGACAACAGCATTGTTCTATAACATGGCAGGAAAGGCTTGATCCAACTCCTACTGAAGTTAATGAGTGTCTTTCCATTGACTGTAATGGGAATCAGATCAAGCAATAGGATCAAGTCCGAAGAGATGTTATAGCCACACCGTTTTCCTTCAGAGGGCAAGGCCACCAACTGTCAGTCACGTTAATCTCTGTTGGCGTTACTCTGGATTCACACCAATGTCATGAGATCAGATTGTAAACTCTTTGGGGCAGGGACAGTCTTTGTGTTCTGCATTTGTACAGTGCCTAGTACAATGAGCTCCTGGTCCATGACTAGGGCTCCTAGATAATACAATAATACAAATAATAATGTCGCTCTAGGTTATAGTATCAGATCGGCTAAACCTAAAATGAGAACCCCTAAGATCACTTCCTGTCTCCAGTGTGGTACTCTATGGCATGTTATACTAGGCGTCAACACCTGCAGCCCTCACTTATGTGATGCTCAGGGGTGAAAGTAATATAAAAGACATACTGGTACGGGGGCCTCTCCCAGCCAGCCCTTCCACGCTGCCTGGCCCATGCTGCCTGGGGCTCTAGCAGCGATTTAAAGGACCCGGGGCTCCGGCCGCTGCTGCGGTAGTGGCAGCGGCGGACAGGAGCCCTGGGCATTTTTATATCGCCGGGCCCTGGTACAGCTACCTCTTTTGCGCCCCTCACCCCCGTCGGTGGCCCTGGGGAGGGGGCAAAGGGGGCAGCGACGTTAAAGTGCTGTTGGCTGTGTACGGGCTGATACCAGCGACCACTTCTTACTGGTACGCTGTACCGGTCCACTTTCACCTCTGGTTATGCTCCTGTAGAAGTCAGTGGGAGTTTTGTCTGAATATAGACTAAGTTTTGCTCTTAATCATAAGGATGATTTTTGTGTGCATGTGTTCAAAAAGGAGGTCTGCTCCTTAAAGACATCTCATATAATAAATTAGATTTACATTTTTGGGAACACAAAAAGGAAATAAATGCATAAAGTGACTCAAATATAAGTAATTACTGCTGAATGACAACAATATATGCACACATTAGCTTTTTTTTATTGAACACATTTAAAGGGACACCAACTTCATACTTGTAATAGTTTTTTTTTAAAAGCAGATACAACCAACTCCTAAAATTACTATAACTAAAAGAGTTTAAAGGGGGGAAAATATTTTTTCAGATTTTTTCTTTGTGCATTTGACAACATGTTGCATACAGCCAGTTTCATACTTTCCCAGTAGAGTCAGTTAAGCCCAGATCCCGCAAATACCCACCCACAGGGACTACTCAGGTGCTTAAAGTGAAGTATGTGCATGTTTGGAAGATCACAGCCTTAATTGTGAGCGTGACACATACACAATAATAGAAAGGGGAAAAATTAAAAATATAAAAAAGTGTGATTGTAAACCAGGGGAACCAGAGGCAGCTGTAGTACTTGAAATTCAATTTTTTAAAAAACTTGCTAGATTTCAGTTCAATGGCATCTTTTTAACCTAGACATATGTCACTCAACATCTTGTTGACAATTCCAAACCTCTTTCTAATTTATATGTCCTGCACAGGGAGTGCAGATCCTATTAAACAGAATTAAAGTATATGAACCGTAGGGGGGAAAAATTGCATAGAACAAGCCAATACTGAGGTTTGTCAGTGAAAAAACTAATGCCATTTTGAAATGAACTACTAGTCAGGAGTATCTTTTAAATGGCCCAACATTACATATAAAAAAAAACCTAGCAAAACTGTGTAAGTCAATAAATTCACTGTTCATTAAGTTCATATCCAGTGACAGCCAAATAGAAACATACCTGGAATTTCTCACACCGGTTCATCTGAGTTGATCGAAATTCAGGAGAATCTATAAAGGCACAGGGGTAAATATTATGCAGAAAATGCCCTCGATAGGAGACCTTCATTCTGATGATAAAAATATTTGTTAGAACAACATATAAAAACCATAAGGTAGAATAACAATCTAAATTTGAATATGATTATTGACAATGATAATACAGAACTCAGAGAGGTAACTGCATCCAGGGAATTTTCACCAAGCATCTGACCTAGTTGTCAGCCAAATAATCTAAGTTTTGTCAAAACTCTCTTTGATTCTAAAGGGAGCAGTATCACACCTTAAAACAGGCGACATGGTTTGAAATAATAAGGAGCTGTGTGAATAATGGATTTTTTTTTTGTTTTGCTACCAATTCCAAAACAAAAACAAACAAACAGCACTGTTGCGGGTCAAACAGAAAATTTTTTGGACATTTTTGGTGAATATTTTGTCTCAGTTTCAACCATTTTAAAAAGCTTTTTATTTTTTTTTCATCAAAATTAAAGAGAAGCAATTGTCCAAAGAGAAATTTCAAAATGAAGTTGTTTTGAAATGAAAAATTGAAACACTGTTGAGAAAAATGTCAAAATGAAAAGGTTTGGGTTTTTTATTTATTTACTTATTAGGGTTTATTTCCACTCCAACAATTCAGCAAAGCCTACACAAATTCACTAAACAGTCTAGTGTTGTCGAATCTGAATATTTCACTGAAAAAGAGTTTTGGCCAAAAAAATTGCCCAGGTCTACGCAGAAGGCAGCACCCAGTACGCAGAATACTACATCTATCAGATGACCTCTAAATACCTTGGGTTTGATCCACCTGCAAAGTGACATAGGGTGGATCAAACCCTAGGGAAAGAGGATAGATGGTGGTACCACAACTTACAAGGGAATATCAGCTTTAAACTCCAGCTAGAACTTATGAATCCAGCTAGAACTTATGAAGTTATGAATCAGCGCATCTCCAATCAGTTCCTGGCCAATGGGAGGTGCAGGGGCGGCGCTTGCGGGTGGAGGCAGCATGCAGAGCTGCCTAGCCGCATCTCTGCCTAGCAGCAGCAGGGACAGGTCGCCACTTGCAGGGAGCCACCCGAGGTGAGCGTCCTCCCTGGATCTGGTACTCCGAAACCCCTCCCGTGCCCCACTCCTCAGCCCCCCTGCACTCTGAACCCCTCGTGGCCATTTCTCCCCATGTCACCGCTTCCAGGGAGCCACGCAGAGCCAGGTAGGAAGCTTGCCGGCCCCATGCCAACCGGACTATAAACCTGACTTTCTATGAAGATTAGAAATGTCGGTTTATAGAGCTTTCCAGTTGGTACAGGGCTGGATAACACAGCTTTTACTGTATATTATGAACAATTATTTTTAAAATGACCTTCCTTTGAATTTGTTTTTCATTCCACCATCATGCAATACACAAGACTTTCCCAAACTTTATGCAGCACATACTTTCCCTTTAGCAGGATACTTAGTCGATCATCAACTGATGTTTTGTCCTCTGAAGCATATGCTTGACCTGTTTTTAAAGTCTGAATGTTGCAGAATTGTCCAGTTAATCTCTTGAACAGTTCTGGAGGTACATGGAGTGGTTCAAACATTCTCTTGTACAGACTACTGAACTCCTTCTCTATCTTGATCTGGAATGCAACAACAGTCATCATAAAGGAGAATGGGTCAATGAAGAAACAGAAGTGCAAGATTATTTTTCAGTTCCACAGGTTCCTATAAAAGTTCACCATTTGCCAAAATGGTTGTAGCCAAGATACTTCAGGTTTTGTCTACATATAGGGCAGGAAAGAACTGGCATCTGTCCACAAATGTTGACTCTTAGATGGTGACCACAGCACTTGTTTATGCAGAGCTAAAATTGGGTCGAGATGGTATGCTGGCACTTTAAGCATCTTTTCCATACCAGTAGAATTTGAACTGATTTAAATAGTCACTCTGGATTTACACTGCCGTAAGAACAAATCGAGTTTGGCCCAGAATGGCATCTGGAACATCAGGACCCCTGTGTCTTTCACTATGCATCCCTGCCTCAGGACAGAATGAGGGAGCACCTTTGATCCTTCATATTCATGGCTTGTATGCAGAGGGAGAGCAGGCCCGCAAGCCCTGAAAACAGAGCCAGCATGCAGAAACCCACCATAAGCACGTCATGAGCGAGGAAGAAGCCACTGCCAGATGAACATCCCACTCTTGGGAGCCCACCCAAACTTCAGCTGCAGGGAAGAGGGAAAGGAAGCTGGCTGAAATCCTAAGCCTGAAAGTATTTCCTGAACGAAGGCAACTGGGAAGGAGATAGCAGCTAGTGCTTTGGGTCCTTGTCTACCACAAAACACAGGAAAGCTTGAGCAGAGGTCTGCTTGGTGGTGGAACAGGACACACAGATGAAGGGTGTGGACATCAGAGAATAAAAAACGAAGTAAATATATTCAGAATGGAAAATAAAGAAAAACTGAAACAAAAGTATAGGTAGGGCTGGTAGCACCACCTATTATTAATGTTGCCCAACACTTCCCATTATAAGACCCCAATTTCAGTCACTTATAACTTAAACCACTTTGGCTGAAATTTCCCATGCCAGGTGTCTGCCTCCAGCTCAATTGTTGTGGAAAATTTCATCCAAAACAAGTCAGTCATTTCCAAGAATGAGACTAAGGAAAATAAAATTATTTTTCAATGTTAAAAATATTCTAGTGACCTTTTCATTTGAAAGGTCCCTATGCTTTGGAATAGGGACTTTAAATTGACAGGGAGGTGGCCTTTGTGTCAGGGATGTGCTTTTTGCCATCACTGTGAAAATCCATCCAAATTTGGCCAAGTTATATTTCTGAAAGTCACATTTGCACATGTTCAGTTGAAATTTTCTATAGCTTAACAGCAAAAAGTCTTGAAAGATTCTATCCTCACTGAGCATGCTCGAGGCCTGTCACAGCTCCTTGTGCTGACCAGATAACACATGTGCCAGCCCTACAGAGCAATGGAGCATGTTCCAGTCCAGGGGCAAAGCTAGGCTAGGCTTTTAGCTATGGTTGCTCCTGGCTAGGGTTTGTCCAGGCACTGGCACTGAGACCAGGGAAGTGGTCTCTCCTGTGCTCTCACTGACCCCCGCCCCCTACTCTATTGGCACCCAGGCAACATAGTGGAAGGAATAGTCTGATTCTAATGCAGAGGGGACAAGAGCCAGACATAGGGCATTGTGAGTGAGGGTCAGGGAGTGGATTGGGACATGGAGCCTGAGGGTGGAGACTGGGACTGGCTGGGCAAGGAGCCTGAGAACCCATAGGGATGGGAAGGAATAAGGATGCTGGTGAGAAAGATCTGACAAGAAGTTAGGGTGTATCTGGCTGGGCAAAGCAACCAGGACAAGGAGCCAGGGGAGGTGAGGACACTGAGAATGGATGAGAACCCTGGGGCGGGAGATTGGGATTGGGAGCATTAGCTCCTATGGAGGCATGGGGAACATGGGCAGGGGAGTACTGGAGAAACACAGAGACAGACTGTGGAGGAAGAGAGAAAACTAGGACTGGATGGACGAGGAGACTAGGAGTGGGGAAAGGGGGAACCTGGGGCTGGGATCAGAAGCCTCTCAGAAGTGGAGACTGGAACTGACTAGATGAGGAGAATGAAACTGGGATACAGAGGACTGGGGCAGAGACAAGGGGAGGAGGATTCATGGAGGTGATGGGACAGAAGGGGTCAAGCTTGGGGGGAATGAGCAGAAGTGACAGTGCCCACTGCAGCACACGTTCCTCCAGAGTCTGCAATGGAACCCATGATCCCTGTCCCTGAGTCTTACCATGTCTTTGCTGTCAGCAAATATCTTTGAAACCCACTGGCAAAGTGTCCCATCCCCCTCTACTGCTAGTCCACATAGAGGATAACCACCTAGTACTGCTATCAGTTATTTCTGTTAGCTCAAGCGGCAGAGGTCTGTGCAATGGATCTCAAGGTTCCAACCTGCTAATGATCCATGTGGGTGTCAATATAATGCCACATGAAAGAATTTCCATTTTTCAGTTTGCTTTTTTAAATATCTAGAAAATTACACACAAAAATTGTTAAAACAACTTTACTAAGGATGCAAAGTCAGGCCCTGAAAAGTTAAGAAAGGCCAGAATTAACGTTGCCTGTGCACCTTTAATCTGGCCTCCTTGTGCATATGCATTATGATACAGCCTTTAAATTCCTGAAAGAGGGGTGTTGGAATGGAAACGCTCAGGAAGATTAACAATAAGGTTGTTAGCACTCAAGCTACAGTAACTATGTTTGTATGAGGTTTTCAATTCAATTTCAATTCCCCCGGCCCTGCTGCACATCGTAGTTCTTAACAACTAAAAAGGGCCTATGCACAGGCAAAGCAAAGCTTCAATTTAAACATACATGGTAGGGAGAAGTGTGCTAGGGATCATAATAGATCATCAATCACAGAATCCCCTAAGGTTGCTGATATCTGCATATAGGTTCTGTGCAACTGTAAGGTTAGATAGACTGATTACAATCGACATCTCTTCTCCAGTCAGTCCCTCCTTTGTGTCAGCAATTCTAACTTAATGCTGTGTATCTCCCTGCATGAGCTCTTACCTGTTCACAGACAGGGTAAAATTTTATTCCTAGATGTGTATGTGCATCGCCAGTGGACTGAGTTGGGAATTACCCAAGCATTTGTGAGAGCAAAACTGACTAAAGGAAAACAAAACAAAGTTTAGAGCTTTCATGATCTAATATGTAAATGTCTCTAAGCAGAAAGCAGGCATAACTGAAGTGCTGCTTTTAAAACGAGTGATCAGGTGGGAGGTATTATTGTACTTTGCGAGCCCTCCCTCTCCAAGCAGTGTTCACCCTAACCTAAGTTAAGCACTGTTGACTGCTTCTGCAGTCATCATTGTGGGCCATTTTCCAAATGAGCCATATGGGTAGGTATAAGTTTTGCTCTGTGATAGATGAAATGTTCTGGAGTACTGCCAAAGCCTCGAGCCAGAGCGCTGCAGCGGCACTGATTAGAATCTTTTAGCTTCTGAATTAGGGTGAGGTTCTAAAAGGAACCATGTAGGGAAAGCCTCAATAAGCCAAAACCACAGAAGTCATATTTTGGTCAGGAAAGAACCCATTGTTTTTTCCACAGACTACATTTAATGAAATAAATATTTACCTGAAAATATCGATCAATTATTCATCCTGCAATACAGCTTGATTTTTAATTGTTTTTCCATTCTTTCTTCTTTCTAGATTATGTGATGTGTGAGGCTGAGTAAATAAAAATGATTCTGGGTGATGGTCGATACTTGCAGCTAGAAAATCTCATTCAAAAATTATTTTTTAACATCTTCTTTGCTACCTTCTGTGGTGGTATTTAAAACAACCAATTTTCAAGTTCATAGTAAAAGCAAAGTTACATTCACAGCAACTACAATGAGTGGAGTAAGTAGCAGATGTTGCATCTACAAGAAGGGTTATTGCTCAGAATGTATAACGAAGACGTTGCATATATTGTCTGGCATATGTTTTCTTATTTCCATTTAATTTTACGGTATTTTTAAAATTCACGATGGATGTGTTTATGTCACAAGGTATTTAGAGCCTGATTTTCAGAGGCACCGAGCATCCATAGCTCCCACTGACTACAACTGCAGTTATGGGTGCACAGAACTATTGAAAAATTGGACCCTTAGGCTCCAATTCCTCATTGTGTCATTGCCTCTCTTCACTTGCTAAGTTAACGCAAAGGGGCAGGTGTAAGTCATTTCTCTGGGGGAAATTACCCTTTCTACTGGGAGCTCCTTATGCTAGATGGAGAGTCAACTCTACCAGCTCTGTACCACTTCTTTGGCAGCTCTGAGGATAGGGGAAGCAGGACACAGGTGGGTCACATTGAGCATGGGCCCGGCCAGTGTGGATCCCCCAGAGAGACCACTGCAGCAGGGGCACAACTTCAGTATCCCTGACCACTGCCTCCACCACACCAACCCCTGCAGCCCCTATGCCAGTGCAGCAATTAATTTGCCCCATAATTAGCACATAAAAAAAACAAATAAAGCCACAGAGGAGAAATATATATTTTATTCCAAATTCACTTCTGATTTAATTCTACTAATTTTAACGGACTTGGACCAAGGATGACTCCATATATTCTATTCCCTCTTGCTTTTTTCCCCCCACTCCCAATCTCCTCCTTCCCTCCCCAACTTTTGCCATTACCATAAAGCAAACCCCAAACAATGCTGAGAAAACAAAATGAATAGATATTAAAAAGGTATTTGTAACATTTTCTATAGGCTCCTAGGTCACTGGAGCACTAGGTCCCATTGTTTTTTCAATATGACATTGCTGCTTTGGAAAGTTTAGCCCATTAGGTCGAGACAGCAAAGTCCACTTAAAATGCTGATGTGACCATGGGATCTCCCCACAAAGTGACAGCAAACATCATAGCTGATTTTTAGGACTCTTCAAATTTGTTCTTAGGAGGTTGTACACTCAAGCCCTGTGTGCTCCCTGCCAAGAGCCTGCTCATGGGCTGCAGGTATCACAGGCATGGGGAAGTTGAGCCTCCCTACACTGCCTGGTGTGGCCCTACCCCAGCTCTGCCCCCAGTTCCCTGCCTGCTTCCAGTTCCCACTCTTCCAACGGGGCTCGG